CCCCCACTTAACCAAATCTTAATGAAAATATTATGGAATAATGCGCTCGGGAATTCTCCACTTGGGCTTGATCAGGGAACGGTAGGGTACACCGTAATATGGCTTTACCGATTTGCGCCTGATCCGATGCAAATCAGGGCACTCTTCTTAATATTTTTTTAAGGTAATTCTTACATGGACCTGATTTCTTTGCCCTTATATTACCCTCTAGTCTGGTTAAACCGTCAAAAGTTATAAGTAAGGGACATCAGTTGCCCCGACGAAAGTTAAACGCAAAAGAAAGCGCATAGAAAGAGCAAATAAATATTTTTATTTTTTACACTTTAAAAAAAAAGTTATAGTGATACATATAATATAATAAATAATAATATATACATTATATGTAAGTTACATATCCTTTCAGAGATTAATAAAATAATCGATTTATAATATTTCTCTTGGCATTTTAAATTTAAATAGAGTCAAAACTCCTAAAACTCCTAACCAATACTGAATTTAGAAACATCAGCCAAGTGTTTCCGCGTATCATTTTATCCTTATTGTTCACCGAATGTTAAATAAGAATAAAACGATATACGGGGACACTAGGGTAATGTTTCCGAATGCAGATCTATGACATAATCTAAGCATCAATACCCTAGCATCATAACCCTAGCATCAATACCCTACTAGTACCGTAATAGTACCCTACCAGAACTACGTTAAAAAATATAAGGCGCAACAAGGGGCTACTTATAAGGCCCTGATAAGGTCTGCCTGATCAGGCGGAAGACGTTCCGGACGTTACATTAGCCCTCAGGGCCTGGTAGAATTTCCTCATCATTACCTGATCAGGCATCAGAGTATCCTTGTTTGGACCATATCAGGACCCGTCTACAATTTCTACTCGGAAAAATATTATTTATTTGATTCATATTGATCTATCTGACCTTTAGATATAAATTTCATACGTTTCGAGCTAAAAAATATGTTTTCAGTCCAGAGATACAGCGTAACAAAGTTGCAGGGTTTTACAGACCGTGCTGTAGCCGGGAAGGTAAAAAAATTAACAATAGTCTATTATGGTTATCTAGCATTACAGCTGGACGAAACGTATTATCGTGGATGCATATCATGCGTGCGCGGGCGCGAGTGTGTCATATATACAGTTGATAAATATTCCAGTTGATATCATTCTAATAATTATACCGTAAAAATCAGCTATTTCCATCGCAGGATCCGTGTCGACTGAAACAGAGCTAAATTATTGACATTATGTTCTTTGTTTGTCACGCATTTATAATTTTTATAAATTTAATATTTAATAATGTTTTCCATATGTGACGCTTACGAGAAAAGTATTTGCGGAAGCATCGCTACATGCTCAGTGCTACTTCGTACGAATTATAAAGCACAACGTCAATTAGAATACACGTGAATATGTACCGCACACACAATAAGTTGTATACGACGATCAAACGGTCATAATTAACTTGAATTCAGAGCAAAGGAAAGACAGATATTATAAAACAAACCGGACGCCTCTTAAATTATCAATTTATGAATGATGTACGCGTGAAACGCTTTAGTAAAGAAGACTTAAAGTATACAAATTAAAAGAAATCTTTATATACAAATGTCTTGAAGAAAAAAATATTAAGAAGATTGAACTGAAAGTTTCCTAAAAAAAATATTTAAATCATGAAATACAAGGCAATACCGATAAATTGACAAAAACTTATGAAAAAAAAGAAGTAGAAATTGACTTAGAATTAAAAAATTAAGGAAGAAAATAGTCATTGGAAAAATGTCTTCGATTAAGAATTCAACTTTCATGAACGTCAATAAAATTTCCAATTCCATTAGAAATATAAATAAAGAAAATTCTATTGCGGAAAAAGATAGTGAACAGAAAGTGAACAAAATAAATCCAAAACTACATCACGATTTATTTTGGACGATCAGAATATTGATAATGTTTTTCAAGCTTATCGGTCTCGCTACATTCGCTCATCGAATCGTCATATACAGAAAGAGAACGTCATACGCATTTCAATATTGCAAATTAGGACTCGCTTACAATGTTGTGCTGAGTAGCTTAATAATAGCTTCGAACTCTATGGCTATACCATTCAAACTTAATCATAACTACAAGATCAAGTCGTATTTGACTGTAGGCATCGCGGTTCTACAAACTGTCCTTGGTGCCTTGATGACCTGCGTGATTTTTATTAGCTACTGTATCAACCAAAAGTCTTTGGTGCGAATCGCCAATCGAATAATCATCATCGAGCACGAGATAATCGCTCATCGAATCGTCATATACAGAAAGAGAACGTCATACGCATTTCAATATTGCAAATTAGGAATCGCTTACAATGTTGTGCTGAGTAACTTAATAATAGCTTCGAACTATATGTCTATACCATTTAAACTTAATTATAACTACAAGATCAAGTCGTATTTGACTGTAGGCATCGCGGTTCTACAATCTGTCCTTGGTGCCTTGATGATCTGCGTGATTTTTATTAGCTACTGTATCAACCAGAAGTCCTTGGTGCGAATCGCCAATCGAATAATCATCATCGAGCACGAGATAAATCGTCTGTATGACCTATATCATCCGCTACGACGACAGCGTATCTTCTGCACTATTATCATCGTTTGCACCTTGAAGATTTGCCTTTTGATACTTCTCCTGTTCGCTCAGATCCTGACCGGTCATACAGACCTAATCTCATTGCTGATAGACATTTTGCCGACATTTCACGCGGGTTGGCTACTGATACAGTACTTCCTGTTGGTGACGGTCATTCAGACAGATTTCTATGATGTGAATCGAGCGATACAAAGCCTCACCAGGATCAATGCACCTGATCTTCAACTGCAGTCCCTCTATCAAACGCGTCGTATCGTAATCAACAATTCGACCGTTCATCAACTGTTGAAACTGCAAGATGTGCATTGTCATCTCTGCGAAATCTCTGAGGATGTGTCGAGGTTCTATTCACTACCAGTAATATTCGGCATCGTTTATCTCTTTCTGTCACTCATATATAATGGTTATCGTTTTCTCGCGGTTCTGTTGAGGGCTAATAATATCTCAAACTTAGATTATTCTCATATTATTTATGAAATCGTCTGGATAATATTTCGGATTTATCCCATCTTTCTCCTCACCAACAGAATTACCAGGACTTTAATCGAGGTAGAATATAATATGATCGCATTTTAATCAGATCGTTTTAATCGATGAAACAAAACATTTTTATCAGTAAATAAAACCCCATTTTACGAAATATTTCAATTATAAGTTTATTGTATAGATGAAGAAGACGGGCAACATAATGCATGATCTTTTAAACTATGCAATCGGGAAAGAGATAAAAGCAGAGGTAAAATATAAACTTAATACTTTTTCAGAAACGGTATCGTTACGATATTTATCATAGATATGTTGCAGCTCAAGACATTTTCGCTTCAATTGCTACATCGGTAAACGGTATCGTTACGATATTTATCATAGATATGTTGCAGCTCAAGACATTTTCGCTTCAATTGTTACATCGGAAAATACAGTTTACAGCTAATGGATACTTTACGCTCGATAATACTTTTCTTTATTCGGTGAGAATAATTAGAATGTAAGTAATTTAATATAAATTAAGTTTTTTAAATTAATAGTTTTGATTATTTCTCTCAGCTAACTGGCACAGTGATGATATATTTTGTAATACTTGTGCAATTTCAAATGGGAAGCTCGCTTTCATCGATCAATGCAAACTATACAGGGAGCAATGTAACTATACAAGGATAGATTTAAAATAAGTTGCGGAGTAACAAATTAAAGATAAAAAAAAGCATAATGAGAAATATCGAAGACTCTTAAATTGGGATTAAAATCCAATTAAATGCAATTTATAAGCACGCAGAATTTCAGTTCTGATACTTGTTATTGTAACTTCCTAATAAATACAATCAGTTCTGATATGTAAAATTAGAAAACAAAAACTCTAAATATATGTATTGTATCCAAATTAATATTGTTAATTAATTAATAGTAATTAAATTGAATGCCCAGACGGTACACAATATTTACAAAATATTTAGGAATATTTATAAGATTTATTTTAAATATTTTGTGAATATTTTTGTGGTTTTAGATTGCACAGGTCATAAATATTCATTATAAATTTTATGAAATACTTATTAGAATAGTTATAGTACTTATAATTATAATATAGTAGTTATAATACTTATTAGAATAGTTATAGTAAATGCTATAAAAATACTTAATGAGACATTACAATCCAAATAAAAAATACTTATTAGAAATATTTATTTATATTTATCATAAATATTGCATTAAATGTTTAGTCTATATTTTAATAATATTTCGAATAAAGCTTTATATAAAATATGTATAAAATATCTATATAACATTTAAAAAAATGAATATTAATAATGATTTATCATAAATATTCTGTGTTATCTGGGTAAGACTCGATAGAAAAATCAATTAATAATATTATCTCATTTATCTCATTACGATACAATACTCTGAGCTCCAAATATTATTTCATACCGAGTTAATATTGTGTAACCTCAGCTTAATGAATACGTTTTATGTATTTATACGCAAAGTACGTACAACAATATTTTCCAATACCATATAAATGTTTCATATTGTTTTAATCAAGGATAGGAAGTAACACGTATAATGCGGCCGGTTCTACTATAGGAATCGTAGATGTGGAGTCTGAAGCTATAGAAAATTGACCAATCATAGTCGATTATTTTTCTCATATTTGAATGTGATTGATCAATTTCCTACGACTTAAGACTCCAAGGTTGTCTACGACTCTTATTGTAAACCTCGTATTACCGTTATTTTTTATAGCCACAATTTTGTATTTACTTTTTACAATTTTTTTTATGACAGTAAAGATAACGCTGAAGAAAGTCACTTTTGAAGAGTAACTTATTATCCTTACGCGTTACTGATTAAAAAATTAACTCATTACTTCACACGTTACATAAAAGTAACGCCTTATTTCCTATCCTTGGTTTAAATTGTAAGTTTTCCTTGGAGCCTTCCTATGAGTTAAATACATATAGTGTAATCTCTTTTATTCCATGGCATTAAAACATATTTTCTCAAACTACCTGTTAGCAAAAAAATGTCTGTGTAAAAAGGTATATCGAATATTTTGTCTAATTATTCAGTTTTCTAAAAATTCCATATGAATATTTACGCGATAAATGATTGCATTTTTATAATTAACCGAATTGAGGAGTTAACTTTTTATGAATAAAATTTTTAATCATCGACATATCTATCGCAGATCGTTTGAGAAAAGATTTTTTCTATTTAATACATTCTGGATTCGTACAAGTTATTAATGCAAATATTTGATCGAAAAACTTCAAAATTATTTATCTCTGTTATGTTTTGTAAGTTTAATATAAAAAATGGACTATAATTTAATTATTTTTTTCTATAAACTACATTAAAAAATAACTTCTTTTAAGAATAGCCTATATTTATAAGAATTTTCATTTAATTAATTTAAATAACAAACTTACTCTTATTTAATAAACAATTGTTTACATTATTTAACGGAATATCTTCATTGCTCAGGAAATAATTTGTGGTTAAACAATCACCTAATAAATATTATGTATCGCAGACTGTACAGAGATTGACGGTATCTTTTCTCATTAATTACGAACAGATATTCTTCAAGGGACTGTTTTCATCACTCTAAACATCACATGTATATCCTTATAATACTTAAAATTTTTGTAAAAAATCTTGTGATAAAGAAACTAATTTCACTATAATTAGAATCTTTTTAATATTGTCACAATTGCATACGCTCAAATATTAAAAAAGTTATGATAATAGAAAATTTTAAAATTAAACGCACAAAATCTTGGCTTGACTAAAATTTTAAGAATTATCAGAAATCTGCTATGTATCTTTTAATAAGTATGTTTGAGAATAAACTTTTTTATCTAAACTAGTAGAATATTAGTATGAAAACATTTCTTTCAAGTTAGTTTCGATTATTTTTTTTATAAAACTAGAGATTATTTTATAAGGATTTCGAAGAGGATTGTTCAATGATTCTTCATTAAAAGGCTTCTTGTAAAAGTTGCAAAATAATAGTATTTTTTTAAATCAAAAAAGTCAATATTATTAATCTGTAATCTGGGGATAAAAAATAAATTTATACATATTTCTTTTCCTGTTTTTTGTTTGTTCTTCAAATAGTTTCCACAGTTCTTGTCGACCTCCATGGTATTGCATTAATATTATTAGAGAAAGTGAATAAAAAATATTCAATCGTAATTTTTCTCGTAAAAAATATTATTATCAGAACTTTTTTCCTTTTTAAAGTGCATAACTAGCTTGCAATAATGTAAGAGATATTCCTCGAAGGAAGTATATGTATTCACATTACAGATTGTAGAGTTTCTTATGGCATATATACACAGTATGATTACAAAGTTACTTGAACAACTTAATCGTTATATGCAAGGTCATATGTTATTGCATGGTAACACAATATTCTTTTTATAATCTACTTATTAATTTAATAACAGAATGTGCTCTGATACATTTTTATTTAATGACTTATCATATTCGATATTTTTATCATTATATACTTATTGCGACTGTTATAATTAGACTGCGGAACTTTATGCAAAATACTTAACTGAATGTTTTGTATAAAATGCATATTTTGCAATTTTGTAAATTTACAGATGGCAATCTCAATCTTTTTACTTCACCTTTTAATAACTCTTTAACGAACAACGATTGACTGCTAAAACTGTCCGATAGTTAATATTCAGTTAAGTATTTTGCATAAAGTTCCGCAGTCTAGTTATAATGGAAGAATATAACCGATAATATTACCAGAATGATTTAAAATTAAAATAACAGTTAAAATTATAATTGTCAATGTTCAAATATTCGAATAATTTACAACTTCATACACACACTCGATTATTCGGCTCACGGTATTTGTACATCTGCGCAATACTATGCTACACCAAAAAAAAAAAATAATTTTAATATTAGTAAAAACCGTTAAATCTTAGAGGATTTTATTCTTATGTACGGCCTCAAGAGGAATCTTCTGAAATCAAGAGGAAAATATGCTAAGCACAATATTCTTACAGTTAGAGTACTTTTGTTTTGCATCTGCATGCAGTAAAAATCTTGCTGTTCCTAATTTACACGTAAGAGGGCACTCCGCTTTCAATAAATATATTCCTCGTACAAGGGGAAAACTGTTAGAATAATCTCCAATACATTTTTGATGAATAGTCCAGTGCATTGGAAGAGGAATACTCTTTCTGTAAAAGTTTCTGCTTAGAATATCAGGAAATTTCACTTTACAATTAGATTATCTTTTTTTGGGTGTACCGTTATTATACTGTTATTCATTTTATTCGTATCCATAAGAGTGAAAATTATTGATAATAATCATTCGAATATATTTGAAAGTGTAGAAGTTTGTATAATTCGCCAGAAAGAGTAATTTTCCGTGAAAATTTTACTTTGCAATCCGCATGTTTTATAAATACCACGTATGTATTCGTTTAGTATCATACCATGATTTGGAAAAATGTGCGTTTTTCACAACTTTCTAGCATAATTCTTATTGACTCGTAGATCATTAATTATCGTTAATCTAGAATTCTAGACTACATTATCTAAAGAAGATGGCATAGCAGTATAGAAGATTTTTTCAGATTTTATCGTATTTTATTTGCCATTGTTACACTAAAACGTAAAAACATCTATACGCTATTATTAATGTTTTTCCAATTATTTGGAATTTTTTTCTCATTTCCTTTTTTTCTTTCTCATTTTTCGTTTTCTTTCATATATCATTGCAATTCACATACAATATTAATAAAGTGAAATTGATTGTTACATCAGTAATTACTAAAATAGACTGTTTTGCAATAATACATACGACTACCTTATCGGGGATGAGAAATAAACATTCATAAAATCACAATTGAATTTATTGGATACTATTAACGAATCTTTGAATGATTGAATTTTTTTTGTATTCAAACACGTTGAGACTATGAATGATGGATCTCATTTACAGTTGTGTACAAATTGCAATGTACTCGCGAAGAGCGACGCGCATTGTTCGCTACCTGTAATACAAATATAATTAAATATAATAAATAAATGATAGGGGACATTTGTAGAAGGGTACAGGTTCAAGGGAATTAAATGGAGTGATCTATGACTCTTATTTTACATATATTTTGTTGATTAAATGACAATTTATAAGATAAGAGATTGCAGAGTAAAAACTCTGAAGATGAAAGTTTTGAAACAATCGCATAAAGAGACTTATACATTGTATTAGCATATTTACACTTGCTATCCTCTTGTTAAACGGATGTTTCGGCTGAAGTAGTACCACTTACCTTTAAAGGATTGATGCTTTCCTGTGATTCGTATTAAATCTACCTGAAATATCGAATTAAAGTATATATTAATTTTTTTAACCCTTCCGTCCACTACGTTTTTTCGGCACCTTTCAGTTCACTACGGGGGTCGTTATTGTCTTGGCGGTTTTTTTACCAGTAAAAGTGCTTTAAAAAATCTGAAAAAATTCATGGAACTTCTTTCAACCTTCTTGAAGTCCCAATCATAATATTTCGATAAAAATTATTACACAAAAATCATTACACAATATTTTAGATTATCAAAGTAACTTTATTTTAGTGAGTCATAAGCGAGTAACAATCAGGGAGGGGATATGGCGCCTTCAGTGCCCATTTTCAAAAATTACAGCATTTTGAAATTTCGCTTGGGTCGAAAAAGACCCCCGTAGTGGACGGAAGGGTTAAATTAATCCTTACGACTTCTTTTAATAAACTTCTTTCAATAATCTTCCTTATATGCTTTTCCCAAAAAAAGCGAGCAAAATGTAAAATATTGAATTGCATTTATTGATTAATTATGATTCCATAAATTATCTAAGAATTTATAAAATTTACGTATTAAACATCATATATAATTAGAAAGAGATACAGATATTTTATATGCAACATATATATACATTATATATTATATATATACGTTATATAGGATAAGTGCGGGTAATACGCCAGTGTGGGGAATATGCCACACGTTTTGTTTTACAATGATACCGATTAGCAGCGCTTGCATCAGTGCTACAACATTGTGTACAATTGTGTACTTAACATATTGCATAAGTAGCAACAATTTCCTGGCAACAGTATTGTTTTTATGAGGTAAATATGACGGCATGGTATACGAAAATGTGTTTCTTATAACTTTTATAGTGCTTTATGTAAGTTATTATTTAAACATTACACAATATTTAGCTCAATTAGCTTGTTAATCTATTAGAGTAAGTTAAAATGAAAATATTCATTACATCGTTGATTCATGATAAAACTGAAAAATCAAAGTTGGTAACACTGCAAACTGCAATGTCTGACTGCAATGTCTGACGGGTAGATAAGATTAACGTGAC